TGAGTTGAAGTCTCACTCTGCCGCCCAGACTGGAGTGCAGTGGCCGCTCCCGGCCACCGCAGCCTCCACCTGCTGGGCTCCAGTGATCCTTCCGCCTCAGTCTTCCAAGGAGCTGGAACTACAGGCGCGTGCTCCCACACCCAGCTAATTTTTGATTTACTGTAGAGACGCGGTCTGGCCAAGTTGCCCGGGTGGGCCTCGAACCCGTGGGCTCAAGCAATCCACTCGCCTCGACCTCCCAAAGTGCTGGGGTGACAGGCTGAGCCACCGAGCCCGGCCTGCGTGTTAGTTTCTACATCCCTGATGTGAGTGTGTGTTTTCACCCCTGCACCCCGCCCCTTCCCTCCTCTTTTCCCTGTGTCAGTGAGAGGGAAGCCTTCGCTGCTTGGTTCCCTGAGCCCCCTAGACGTGATGACAGGGCACATCTAGTGTCCAGCCTGGTCCGTAAATGCCATTTTCCCGAGAGAACAGGCTGAGTCCAGGGCTGGTGCCAGGAAAGCACAAGATGAGCAGGGAGCATCTCCCGTGCCCGAAAGCACAGAGGTGCTCAAAGACTGACGGGGACACATCAAAGATGCCCACAGGTCACATCTGGGTGACGGACACATCAAAAACAAAGACAGTCCTGGATTATAGCCTGTCAAATACACTTTAACAATAAATAAACCAAAAAATAATAGAAATAAAAATGCTCGAGACTTTCTTTTCAGAATAAAAGAAAAAAGAAAGCAAGGAAAGGATGGGGGTAAGGAGGGATATAAAGCTATTTTTTACAGAAGAATATAAACTAATTAATATAGAAAGAAGATGGAATTATAGAAGAATTTGTGGGCGCCCAAATGAGTGGCTGAACATCGGGTACGGGACAGGATATTTACATATTCTCAAGATACCCTTCTAAATATTAATTACAGAGAAAGAAACTGGCGGGTCTCATCCAGGGGAGCAAAGATCGCCAGCTGGGGATAAACCAACATCAGGTGACTCCCGAAACAACGAACCGGGAAGGACACGGAGCAGCCAATAGTGCAACCTGGGACCCACTCTGAGCACAAGAGGCCACCAGGCCAACCCAAATGGAGGGCCCTTCTGCAGAATGCCTGGCCTGTTCCCCAGTGTCCCAAAAGGCAAGGCGAGGAAGGCCACCAAGGGCCTGTGACCAGAAAGTCCACCTTTGTAGAAGCAGCCCATGACCCTGGACGGGGGCTAGGCCTGGAAATCAACGTCCATATAGGGCAGCGTCGGGGCCCTCCGGGAGGTTTGCACATGGGCTGTGGGCTAGGTAATGGCATTGTGTCCACATCACAATGCTTGATTTTGGCGATGTCCTGTGGTTGTGAGGAGATGTTCTTGTCCTTAGGAAATACGCACTGCGGTAACTGGGGTGAGGTGTCTCCACCCACTCTCAACAGGTTATGAAAACACGATATGCAAATATGTGTGTGTGTGTAGCTGGATGGGTCAGCGGGTAGGCAGATGAGGGGAGAGGAAGGCAGGGGGGCGGTGAGGACCGCGGAGCAGTGGTGTCGGGGTAAAACATACGCGAGGAGTCTTGGCTAGTCTTGCGAGTGTCCTTCCAAGCAGCGCCACAGAATCCCCCCGTGGAAGAAGAAGAAATAGATTTACTCTTGTCCCCGGTTCATGGCACAGAATTCCAGAACACTCGGAGTTTGCGAGTGACAGGAGTGTCTTTTGCGCCTCTGACCACACCTGCTGATGAGCGGCTTAGGGTGGGGGTCCCCGCAAGTCCTGGGGATGGGGCTGGTCACCAGAAAGACCAAGAGATGAGAGGACCAGGGTGTGCAGCCCTTCCCACCGGCCTCCAAGAAGCCGTGGGGGTGCTGGAGAGAAGGCTCCGCAAAAATTCCTGGACAAACAGATCTGATAAACTCCCAGGCGACTGAGCCACGGGTGCTGAGAGGGCAGCCAGGCTGGGGGCATGGGAGCGCCTCCTGTCCCCCACACCTTGTCCCCTGCATGTCTTCCGGAGTCATCTCTCTACTAAACGAGGGGGATGCCCCCGAACCCGGAATTTGTTTATAAGAAGTTGTGTGTCCAATCTGACATGTTTGAACTCCAGTCGCCTCCAAAGTGCTCTCCGTGGGATGCGACACATCTATCGAGACATATTTTCCACTGCTCAAAACAGACTTTGAGCATGTCCATGTAGTGCTTCTGCTGTTTTTGGTTTCGCCTCTTCCACACTGGCAGAAAGTTTCCCTTTGAGGACTTTTTTCATCCAGGGAGACAAACAAAGAAAAGACACTCAGGGTGAGAGCGGGTGAACAGGGGGTCATACTGGCTTTGGTAAAAAACAAACAAACAAACAAACAAACAAATTATTGAATACTCAGCACAGTGTGAGCAGGTGCACTCATAAATTACTCATCACGAAATGGGCAAGCATGTTGAAAGAATCTCCAAAAAAAATTCACTGAAGCCGCATGCAGCCTCTTCAACACTAGCTCGGACACGGACGCCAATGGGTTCCTAGAACACTTACCTATACTATGAGCCTATGCTGTGAGAGGCCCGCCCTTTGAAAGACAATTCTAGGTTTTTCTGGATCTCCCTCGCAAATCGGTAAAAGTGAGTAAAGGGCCTCTGGAGTACTGCAAGCCATTGCAGCCAGCTGAAGAGGGGGTCGTGGGACTCTTGCTGTAGAGCCCCTCAGTCAGAAGCACAGGGGGACGCCTGGGATTTGTGACTAGCATCGGAAGTGGGGGCCTTTCTTGCAGGACTGGGCCCCAGACCTGTGAGTCCTGTGCTAATCCCGAGTGGCTGGTTTCAGAATTGAGAACCGCATTGTAGGACACCCAGCTGGTGTCTATGGAGAAGCCGCGGAAGAAACACCCCACCCACCAAAACAAAACAAATGTGAAGCAATAAGAATTCCCCAAACACTGCTGTAGGGAGGGGAAACTGGTACAACCGCCTTGGGAAACCGTCGGGCAGGATCTATCCCACACATGCACACGACACCCCCACCCCAACCCTTAAGACCCAAAAGCGTAAGAAGGCACATCCATGCCTCCTAAGACACACACAAAAGCGTTGAGAGCAGTGTCATCCACACTCGCCCATATTGCATTTGGCCCGAACGCCCATCACGTCTAGAACAGATCGATACATGGTGGTGTGTTGACCCAGTACCCAATGGTGAACTAACTCCGTCCGCCCGTGGATTCTGCCCAGATAGGAGAATGCCCACTTCACAAATATACACAGCGGCACGATCGAGACTTTCAAAAGTAATGCGAGCCAAAGACGCCCTAAGCTGGCGAGGCCTTGTGGCAGCCCTGAGGGATGACCAGAGGAGGAGAGAGCTCCAGCCGTTGGGGTGCACGGCCTCTGGGGAAGGAGGCCAAGGATGTGACCTGGGGGTGCGTCGAGGGGGGCTCGCGGGAGGTTGGCACCGGCATGCTCACACCAAGGGCCGGACTTTCTGTTTGCCAGGCTGGGCCTGCCGGCCTTGAAGCATGCATGTGGGTGCTCTGGAAACATCAGGCGATAGACTGGGGAAACAGCAGGCCAAGAGCCAGCTTGTGGAAATGAACCGGCATGTGCCAGCCGGGTCACATCTAGGTGCCAACAACCACGCCTGCGGCCCCACCCCTGCATGTAAACGGAACCAGCCAGCGGGCCACTCCCCCATAGTGCAACCCCAGGCGCACCCCTTCCCCAAGAACTTTCCCTGTGCCAATCTCCGGCAACCAGAGTCCCTGGGGTCTTCGAAAGAGCTCGGCAAACGCTGTTTTCCACGGTCCCTTCCCACCCTCAGGGCCCCAGCGGGAAGGCCCACGGGGAGGGCCGGTCTACGTTCCTCATACTTGGCGGCGGCAATTTCAGGCCCGGCTGCCTGACCCACATAGCTGGGGAGCGTGTCCCTACAGAGCATGTGTGGGGTTCACACCCACCCAAGGCTGCAGGAGGCCTCAGGGGAGCCCCTGCCACAAGGCCCCTGACCTTCCCACTCCCTGGGAGGGTACGATGGGGGTGTCCAGCCACATGGCAATCAGGAAAGGCAGGGCTGGCTCCAGAATTCTCCACTGAATGAACAGGGTCCAGCCCGAGGCACCTGTGTGTATCCACCTGGCTGACTCTCTTGCCTAAGAATTATTCTAGAAACAGGAAAAAGAAGATAACAGATGACACAAGAGCCACACAAAGCCCATTTGTATCTCTGTGTGTGTGCATGTGTGCTTTCTACAAACATTCAACACACGTCTACTATGGAGCGGCCCACACTAGGCCTGTGATAGACATCTCTAGAATGAAGAACCTGCCTGTCTCAGGAGCTGGGTGTGGGAGCAGTTTGCACAGGTGGAGGTGAGGTCCACGCCTCTCATCTTACAGATGAAGACCACAAGCTCATAAGACCAACCCCCAAATGGCACAGCTAGTGAGGGCCAGAGCCAAGGTAGAAGCCCAGGAAGAGCCAGGGTCAGGACCCCAGCCAGGCACGTGACTCTGAGGCCAAATGAGAAAAGAGCAGCTTCCGGGTTGGCAGTCCTTCCACTCCCTTAATCTCTGGGGATGAAGGGTGGGTTTTCTGTACCCTCCGATGGGGCAGACATTCCCCCGGGGTTTCCTACTCCAGGAGGGACCCAGGGCACGCAAACAAGGCAGGCTGGGACAGTAAGTGATGGCGAAGGGCATCCTAGAAGCTGCTGCAGCCTGGGAGGATGGGGGACCCAGTCTAGGGGCTGGGAGGACTTCCCGGGCGAGGGGCCTGGGAGTTGAGTGTTATTCACTTACAAGGCAGGGTTTGAAAAACAAGCAAGGGTTTATCCGAGGAAGAAAAGGGAAGAATAGTGTTCCTGGCAGAAGACACTGCGGGAGCAAAGGCCAAGAGGCCAGGAGCCCTGGGGCAGGAGGTATGAGTCAAGCCGTGTGGGTGGCCAGGAGGCGGGGCACCCTTGTGCCCCTCCCCAGGGGCCAGGCAGGAGAGTGGGGTTTATAGAAGCAACCAGCTGCACGGAGCACTGGAGCCCGAGTCCCTGGCCAGCATGCAGTGCGCCCTGCTTCTCTTGCTCGGCCTCCTGGGGGCCGCCTCGGCCAGCCCCACCCCAGGCCCCTGGGAGTGTGCACGGGGGTCTGCTGTGTGGTGTCAGGACCTGGAGGCGGCAGCCAGGTGCGGGGCCGTGGGGTACTGCCAGAGCGCCGTGTGGAGCAAGCCCACCGCCAAGTCCCTGCCCTGCAGCCTGTGCCAGGACACGGTGGCCGCGGCCGGCAACGGGATGAACCCCAACGCCACAGACGCTGACGTCCTGGCTTTACTGATGCAGAACTGTGAGTGGCTTCCCAGCCAGGAGTCTTCAGCCAGATGCAAGCGGATGGCAGACACCCAACACTCGGCCATCCTGGGCATGCTTCACAGGGCTCCCGGCAGGGCCCCGGCACAGGTGTGCACGGCGCTCACCCTCTGCGAGCCCCTGCAGAGGCACCCGGTCGCACCCCCGGGGCCGCTGTCCCAGGAGGACGCCTCCGAGGAGACCACAGCTCCATCCAGGACCGACGGGGCCCTCAGCTTCCAGCCGCCCCAGACGCCCGGGGGAGCCATATGCCAAGACTGTGTGCGGCTGGTCTCCCGACTCCAGGACGCCGTCCAGTCCAACTTGACCCTGGCAGAGCTGAGCCTCCAGGAGCCGTGTGCGTCCCTGCCGCCCGGCCTGGCTCTCCTCTGCAAGAACTACCTCCTCCAGGTGCCCATCCCCACAGAGCAAATGCTGAGGCCCCTCCCGCCACAAGAGGTCTGCCAGAGGCGGGGCTTCTGTGGAGAGTTGGGAACAGCGGCCCGCCTAGCCCAAGTGGCAGCTGCAGACGGGGTCCCCTCCCTGGAGATGGGGTTGGTGGAGAAGAGAAGTGAGGTGCTACAGATGCCCGGCATGTCCTGTGAGGTATGCCTGGCGATGATGCAGAAGATGGAACAGTGGCTCAAGTCCAACAGCACGGTGGCCATGATCAGACGCGGCCTGGAGCACATGTGCTCTCTCTGGCATAACTCTTTCGTCGAGAAGTGCGTCCTCATGGTGGACACCTACAGCCCCTCCTTGGTGCAGATCTTGGCCAGTGTCACCCCGGAAAAGATGTGCAATGTCATCAGGCTGTGTGGCCATCGCAGGCGGGCCCGGGCAGCCCACGGTGCCCACGCCACCACGCCACTCCCGCTGCTGGACGCAGAGAACCAGGGCAGCTTCTGTAACAGCTGCAAGAAGCTGCTCAGTGTGTCCTCCCACAACCTGGAGAGCACCAGCACCAGGAGGGACATCCTGATGGCCTTCAAGGGCGGCTGCAGCATCCTGCCGCTGACCTACATGATCCAGTGCAACCACTTCGTCACCCAGTACCAGCCCGTGCTCATCGAGAGCCTCAAGGACATGATGGACCCTGTGGCTGTTTGCAAAAAGCTGGGGGCCTGCCACGGCCCCAGGAACCCGCTGCTGGGCACCGACCAGTGCGTCATGGGCCCGAGCTTCTGGTGCAGGAGTCCCGAGGCCGCCGAACTGTGCAACGCGGTGCAGCACTGCCAGGCACACGCATGGAAGGAGGAACCCACCCAGGCCGGGGGACATGCGTGACCACGGGTCCTGGAACACAGCGCCTGCCGCCGCGGCCCGGGAGACTGCCGTGTCCCACAGTGCCCGTGAGGTGGGTGCTGCCCCGTTCCCCTTTCACAGATGAGAGACCGAGGCTCCCAGGAGGAGGCTGCAGAGGGCGCATGAGGCTCCAGGCCAGCTGTTCCGGATCCCCAAGGGCTCTGTCTTCACAACAAGGCCAGGCTGGCGCCGCTCCTGGACGGAAACCAAGTCCAGGCCCCGCCCCACCCGGCCAAGGCTGCCCCTCCGTCTCCAAGGCTGTTGCTGGCGGTCCCAGTGGAGCCGGCAGGGGCCTCGGTGGCCTTGTCCACCCCTTGCTGGACGAGGCCGGAGGGAGGGCAGGAAGGGGCCGTCACTGGTGGGCCAGGTTCACCTTGTCCGTGGCTGGGGTAGGGACTGGGTCTCCCCGACGTTCTCTGTTGCTTTCTCGGGCCAAAGCTTCTCAGCCTGGAGTCCCCGAGGGTGGCCCCAAAAGGCGTATGTGAGACATCCGTGTCTCCGAACTTGATCTGGCCAGGTTCTCCAAGGAGTGCCGGGCTCAGCCCCTCCCATATCTCAGCCCCCCTCGCACTCCGCCTCTCGGCCGCCCTTGGAGTGGGCCTGACATCAAGAGAGCCAAAGGCACTGAGGAAACGCCCCAAGGGTCCGGAGTGGCTGGTGGGCGTGTCAAGCAGCAGGACAAGAGCCCTGAGATGGCGAGCAAGGTCTTTCCCTCCCAGAGCCTCAGTTTTCTGATCTGCAGAATGGGGATGATCGCACCTGCCTCGGAGGGAAGTTGAGGCTGTGCCACGGAAGGTCTTGGAGTTCTTTCCGACCAGACACAGCATCCACGTGTCTGCCAGGACCAGAAAAGCCCGTCTGAGACCGTAGCCCCCCAGGAGGGTCTGGTCTGTTCATACTGTATAAACTCAAGTGTTCTTCTCCACATGGTGTGTGCTGTGTTTTTACTCTCCCGGAAGGCCTGGGCCCAGAGCTGCTAGGACAGCCCACCTCACTCGGCGTCCCCCTCCAGCGAGAGGCCTCGGGCACTCGCAGCCTGGGTGAGGGCCCACTGGGGTTTTAGCCTATGCTGTGCTCTCTCCTGGCACACCATGATCCTTCAGGGGACAGCATGTCACCTGTTGTGTCTTTATGCCCAGCCCAGGGGCTGCACACAGGAGGTGTTATGTAACTGTGGGTCAGACACACACACACACACACACACACACACACAGCCCTGTGGTTGAAGCCGCCATTTCCTGTATGTCTCATTCAGTTGATATCTCCTCTGGAACAAGATGAGCCCAGGCCTGGCTTGGCCGAGATGACAGTGGGTGCTGTTTCCCGAGACGCCACACCCGAACTGTTAGGTAACCGTCAATGGCTCAGGCCATCGCCCAGAAAAACGTGCACACCTGGCCTGAGTTTCTGCACACCTCAACACACACACAGAAGCAAAAAGGAGTTTATGTTATTCCTGTATTATCGGTTATCATTTCTTTCCTTCATTACTTTTATTTATTTATTTTTTAAAATATTTTTTTGAGCTGGAGTCTCACTCTGTTGCCCAGACTGGAGTGCAGTGGCCGCTCCCGGCCACTGCAGCCTCGACCTGCTGGACTCTGGTGATCCTTCCGCCTCAGCCTTCCAAGTAGCCGGAACTACAGTGTGTGCTACCATGCCCGGCTGATTTTTTGATTTATTGTAGAGATGAGGCCTCGCCAAGTTCCCCAGGCGGGTCTCGAACCCGCAGGCTCAGGCAATCCACTCACCTCGGCCTCCCAAAGCGCGGGATGGCAGGCTGAGCCACCGAGCCCTGCCATCCTTCATTACTTTCAAAAATAGTTCTTGGGTAAGAGAACCAGCTGGGAAAACACACACACAGGTGCTGTGAGCTGGATCCTGTTCGTTAAATGGAGAATTCTGGAGCCAGCCTGGCCTCTGGTCTAATTGCCACGTGGCACCCCAGACCCACCAGACCCTCCCTCCCAGGGACTGGACAGGTCAGGGGGCCGGTGGTGGGGGTGCCTTGGCCTTCTGCACTCCCAGGCCCTGGGGGTTTTTCAGCTTGTACCCTGGTCTAGCCCCTCCTGTTCTGGTTCCATATAAGAAATTAAGGCACAGAGAAGTCATGGTCCAGTCCTGGGGGGTGGACTTGGACCCAGGCCTCAAGACAGGCGACCCCTCAGTCCTTTCCTTGAGGGACTTGGGAGGAGGGGACTTGCGGTGGTTTCGGTGTCCAGAGCTGGCTGTTCATCAGCATATTCCCAGGAAGAGGTGCACGTCCACACTGGCTTCCTCTCCCTGTGGTGTAGACCCGCAGCAGAAAGTGGGGAGGGGTACGGGTGTAGACGAGGTCTGTGTGGTTCTCAGGAGGAAACCCTGGGTCTGCTGCTCCTGAGACATCTTTTCCACCCTCAGGGAGTGGGTCGTTGGGTCTTGGGGACCCAGAGCGGCTTTGCGGGTCTTGCTGTTCAGGGAGACTGTCCAGGTCTTGAAAGGAGCTTCTGGGATGCTCTACTCACCTGAGGGTTGGGTTGGGGGGTCTGTTACTGAACAGCATGGTTCCAAGCTTTTATTCTACTTCCTGGAGGAAAAATTTTAAAATCCTGACAGCAGACCTGACATGATGGCTCAGACCTATAATCCCAGTCGTTGAGGACGTGAGGCAGGAGGATGGCTTGAAGTTGGGAGACCAAGACCAGCCTGGGCAATACAGTGAGACCCTATCTCTACAAAAAACATTCTAGGCTGGTGCAGTGGCTCCCGCCTTTAATCCCTGCCCTTTGGGTGACAGAGGCGAGAGGATAGCCCAAGCCCAAGAGTTCTAGACCCACCTGGGCCGCATGGCGAAACCTCCCTTTTGCAATGAAAAAAACATTTAGCTGGGTGTGGTGGCGCGTGCTTATAGTTCCAGTTACCTGGAAGACTGAGGCAGAAGAATCCCCTGGCCCAGAAGGTCAAGGCTGCGGTAGCCTTGATGGTGCCACTGCACTCCAGCATGAGTGACAGAGCAAGACTCTGACTCAAAAGTAAATAGATACATAATAAAAAAAATAAATTAAAGATGAGCCGAGCATGGTGATGCGTGCCTATAATCCCAGGAACTCAGAGCAGTGGGAGGCGGGATCTCTTTAGCCCAGGAATTCAAGGCTATGGCGAGCTAGGATCACACCCCTACATGCCAGCTTATGCAACTGAGAGCAGCACTCTCTTAAAAAAAAGACAGAGAAAAGAAGACTTCTTTTCCCTACTTCCCCAGCCCCTTTACCCTCTTAGAAGTAATCTTGGAAAAGAAATGTAAAGAGAAGGAGACACAGGCGGTTGCCTCCCCAGCATTCCTGCCCCGGGTCTATCAGATTCTTTCCATCCACTTCTAGTCTAGATAGACTCACAGATGGACATTTATGGAATGGCTCAGGGCAGGTTGGATGCGGTCGTGTGTCCACAGGCTCCTTCGGGCCCATCTGGACACTGATGCCTGGAACAGTGGGCATGGCTCCAAAGTTTCCCTCCCGGTACGAGTGGCAGAGGAGGTCTCACGGGCCTGTCTGCCAAGCCTGTGCTCTCTCTCTGCTTTACTCTGTGGCTTCCAAGATGAATCCTCTGTTCCAGAAATGTCCAGCTGTGCTTAGTTGGGCCTTATCCCATAACAGTGGAGTCATGTTTCACAGTGATGGAGCCACGAGGACAGGCTTCCTGGAGAAGTCTTGGAGACTGGATCTCGCCAGACAAGAAACATCTGGGGGCGGGGGGGAGGAATCCAGGGAGGTGGGGTCATTTCTGGGCCAGGCTTCTTGGTGTAAATGAGCCTCCCACCCTCACCTGCCTTCAGTTGGGCCCTCCCTGGGTTAGAGGCTGGACCTGAAGAGTTCTAGATGTCCTGACGGTGCTCTTAGGGGCAACTGTGTCCAGTGTGGGCACAGGGTGCGTGACTTAGGGACCTCATGGTTGGGGAAGGGCAAATTCTTCCGAGGTGGGCTCAGGCTCCCGGGGGTCTTGAGTAGTTGAGTGCAGTGAGATTCCCCCCGTCCCTGGCATCAGAGCCAGACCCCACATGGACTCTGAGCACAGAACTACTTGGGCCCAGGCAAGAACAATGCCTCCCTGGGCTGCAGAGATTTGAAAGAAAGGACACTCCGGTCAGGGTCCTCAACTCCTGGCCACACTCCACTCCAGAGTGCCAGCAGGGGTGGGACGGGCCAGAGCACCTGGGTGGACAAAGGGAGACAGCGGGGAGGCGGGCATCGCCAATGACTCAGGGTCCTGCTCCTTCCTGCTTTTGACCTACCTTCTGGGGCAGAGGAGGAAGGGCTGAGTCCCCTACAGAGAGGGGAACAGGTACACACGTCCAGGGTCAGCTCCCAGAGCTCCTTGGGGAGGAGGTGAGTCCCCGTTCACGCCCAGGCCCGGCTGCTGTCAGAGGACACCCTTGTTTTGCCTGGCATCCTTGGGAAGGCCACTGGAACTAGGCAGAATGGACTCATGGCCACTACAGAAGGAGGGCTCTGTGTTTTATACCTGGAAGGCTCGGCCATGGTCCCACTTTCCCAGAAACAACCGTCCCAGGGTGGCATTGGCACTGGGGGTCTCTGCCCACAAAGGACGGAGCAGAGAGAGGTTTTGGCTCAAGAGCTTGTTGGTCCCACAAGAGCCAGTGCTGGTCAATCCATCTAATACTCACAGAGCCTGTTCTGTGGGGGCTCTGTCCTCGGAGTTGAGTGCAGTAGGGCCCACCGAGGCAGCATCCTGCCCTCCTGGAGCTCAAACTTTACAAGCACAGCCAGGCCATTGCCACGATACGTAAGTAATACCAGCTGTGGGCAGATGGCGGGAAAGCCGACGGAATGGTGGCAGGAAGGGACAGCGAGTGAGGCACCGAGTTCCTTCCCCCAGAGGCCGGCATCTACGGGCCTGCAGAGACCCACCGCCACTCGCGGGGCCTTTCCCTCTGGTCAGTGGCCAGAGTGGGTGCTGGGTCTCAGAGGCCACGGGGGACCCCC